TATATATATATATATATATATATATATATATATAACCCAGGGAGTAATATGGTGTGTGTGTGTGTGTGTGTGTGTGTGTGTGTGTGTGTGTGTGTGTGTGTGTGTGTGTGTGTGTGTGTGTGTGTGTGTGTGTGTGTGGGCTCTCCCAATCTCCCATCCCCCCCCCCCCCAGCATCCTCTCCTCCTTCACTGATGATAAACTTTACTGATTCCCATAGACCAAGTAAAGGTATTAGGTCTGCGTGATCACAAAACACAAACACGATATATATACAGAATAATGGGTGTTTTAAAGATCCAGGCCTCCTCGTTGCTGGACTGATCAACCAGGCTGTTGGACGCGGCTGCTCGCAGCCCGACGTATGAGTCACAGCCTGGTTGATCAGGTATCCTTTGGAGGTGTTTATCCAGTTCTCTCTTGAACACTGTGAGGGGTCGGCCAGTTATGCCCCTTATGTGTAGTGGAAGCGTATTGAACAGTCTCGGGCCTCTGATGTTGACAGAGTTCTCTCTCAGAGTACCTGTTGCACCTCTGCTCTTCAACGGGGGTATTCTGCACATCCTGCCATGCCTTCTGGTCTCATGTGATGTTATTTCTGTGTGCAGGTTTGGGACCATCCCAACCCAACAACCACAACACCCACACCAGCCACAACAGTACCCACACCACCCACAACAGTACCCATACCAGCCACAACAGTACCCACACCACCCACAACAGTACCCGGGCCACCACAAATAATACCCACACCATCACCACACAAAATATTACCCACACTACCAGCACAAAAATACCCGCACCACCATAAGCTAGAAGGCAACTACAGGAATTGGGAAAGAGAGATTTGGGAGAGAATACAGTTCCAACATTATCACCAGAGGATCACACAAACAGGATAACATCGGCAGCATATGAGACGCTGGTACATGTAAGAACGTCGTTTAGAAACCAATATCAGGACTCCTTGAAGGCAACCTACATAACAATTGTTATGCCAATATTGGAGTATACAGCACCGGCATGGAATCCACCTCTTATGAAACAAAACTTGAAAAAGTACAGAGGTTTGCAATAAGATTGGTGTCAGAGCTAAGAGGGTTAAGCTACGAAGACAGGCAACGGAACTAAGTCTCACAATCCTGGAGGACAGAAGGAACAGAGGGGAATATGATCACAACATAAAAGATACCGAGGGAAATAGAAAT